ATAAGCCGAAGGACTTAGTGTAAGTTCTTAAAAGTCAAATAACGACATTATCACAGATGTTTGGGCTTGGCATTTTCTTCGACCTTATTTCCTACACCGAAGAAAGTATTCAAAACGCCTATAGTAGCCTCACTATTCGACTCTTAAAATAATTTTTTCAACCTTTAGTGTAATTTTCGTCGTGAGAGTTTTCAATCACATGCGTTCTCTCATTCTTACGACACTTAAGGTCTCATTTTTCAGGCAGAACTTTGAATTGAGAAACTACTTTTAAGTTAAAAATCGTATCAATACATAACCTTTCCTCAAATCTAGTACTAAGCCTTAATGCAAACTTAGAGGAAGAAGAAGCTGTCCGTTAACTGCTCTGATGACCAAGATATGGTTTTGCAGAAGACGCCACTTCGGGGTTTCTTATATTTAAAAATGCTATAACTGCCTCGAAAGTTGAGCAGTGTCTAAAGTAAATCGTTGTGAAAAACACACGGAGTACACCGAGTTGAGTAAATAAACTTAAAATTTATTCCTTCTTTTGTCGAGACTACCGTGTGAGTATCAGCTGTAAATTGCGTCCATGTCCATAGACCCTATTCATAAATGGCTGCCAATTAAAAGTTCTTTTGTCAGTATCAAACCTCGTTTTTGAGTTGATAATTCGAAAGAATTTTTACTCTCAAACGAGGTTAGTTGGGCTGATTTTTAAATTAAATGCATACAAAGGAATTTTAAATTGGCAGCCATTTTTGAATAGGGTCTATAGTCCATGCAAACTTTAAGTAGTGTAAGGTTAGGGTATTAATGTACAATTGTAAAAAATGTAATTTAAAAAAAAAAAGAAATGTAACAAAAATATATGAATAAATGATGTAGATGCTCATGTGATTTGATATGATGGAGGAATAACACATATATACATATATGTACCGAATATAAGTGAAGTATAACTTAATTAATTATACTGAAATACTGATTGTGAAATAATATAGTGAAATGCAAATTATTAAGTATGAAACAACGTAAATGTAAGAGGAATATTATAGGCAAAAGGAAGCAAGATGTAAGCGTTTGTAATCAGTTTGTGTGTGGAATATTTGTATCTAAATAAATGCATTGTATAGAAAAGTCATCATATAGTTTGACGCAATAAAGTGAATAGCAGTTCACAATTCCAGTTCACTCTCAGTGGGTGACGTAATACCCTCGTCGGTGTTCCGTCCATCACTTGACATCTCGGTCAGCTCTCCTAGGGTGTTTTTTCTTCTGTCCTTACAAGGCAGCGGACTCAAACCAAAAGGCGAAGATCTGGCCATGGATGACGCAGGCGTTACCGGAGGGACAACACAGGAATTGCATAAATTAGATCGTTTAGCTGGACTCGCAAGATACGTTAGTGACACCGGAGAGCTCCCCAAAGGTGCAAAGGCTTTGGGACGACTTGAATAAAACTTAAAGTTGGGAGAGAGCGGACTGGTGTAACGTTTTCGTGGCTCCTTTCCTGTTGGAGTTAAGTGTCCTTTCTCTATTTCCGGGCTGTCAAGACCGAAATACTTGGCGCACTTTCTGACACAGTAAACAGGATCGTCAGGATCCCATGTTTTGTATTTCAGTAAGATTAACTCGCCTCTTGTTGGCAAATCACGTGATTCGTGCGGTCGAAATCCTCCGTTGACGAAAATGTTCTGCCAATCAATATCCCTGGCAGTGTTGCTTGGCTGAGGAGAATCGTTACGACCTTTGGAATCTACACGAGTGTAACATGTCTCTTTTGGTACTTTTCCAGGTTTGGCTGTTGCAGTATGGGCCAAGGGAGGCAGATGATCGAGTTCAATTCTTTCATTGTCGAGCTTGGCTCTTGAAACCTTTGTCAGTGCATCATCAAGGGAACGCGAGGCAGTGTCGCTGCTATCCTCTCCATCATTATCAAACGACCTCTCGCTTATTTCGTCCTCTTCAGTCTGTGGCATTTCGTCCACCGTGTTTATTGTTTCTTTGTCTCGCTCATTGATGTAGTTTGCCAAGTTTTCAAATGGGTTTTGACATGTTTTCCTTGCAACTTTTGTATTGAACAGAACAGCTGTACAACTCACGTCCAGTTCAGAGACTTCCCTGTCATGTTCGCCAGCTTTTCTGGATCTGTTCTGACTGAGCAGTTTTGCCCAGCTGTTGCTTCGAAGTTGAGGTTTCCTCGTCGTTATTCCAGGGAGGTATTTCTTTGAGTTATGCTTCTCTGATTTCATTTTGGGAAAATCGCAGCCCACGTCATAAATGTCGGTGCTATTGTCAGGCGAATAAAAGTAAAAGACATGACATGAGAAAACACTATATCAGTAAAACAAAGCAAATATTCTATAGGTCTCCCACCTAAGGTGGGTGGTAAGGGTTGAAGAAAATTGTGCTTCGCTGTCGAGATTGTTGCTGATATAAGTTATTATTACACAATTAAGTTAGTTCAGAGGGAAAATAGCTAAAATCTACCACTCAGATTTCTCTATTGCCGGCCTAATATTTTCCAAGTATTCGACAGGGAGTGCGCTACCTCTGATAAACGAATTCTCAGCGCTTTGTTACTTACAGTGCTTTACTAAAAGATTTAACTTACACTTGATTGGTTCTTTGTCTTTTTCCTTTAAGTTTATTCTCCTTCTTGTTTTTTGAAAACGTCACGTCAGAATTGCGCGATTGAAGTTTTCGGCTGGTGTCAGTCATATATCAAGCATGCTCGGGACCGTACTAAGGAATATTACCGGGCCCTTGGCCTTTTTTCGTACCGAATCTCGGACCATAAAAAAGAGAGCTTGACAATGGAAAATATTTGTGCCATAGTAAAGTCAGTCGATAGTTCCCACTACCTCTGGGCAGTGCTGGGTAGGACCGGTCTAAAACGGCTTGTTTTCATGCCTAGGCTTGGCTCAGGTGAACACACAATGTACATGTCAAGTTTTCCCGTTTGTAAAATAAGTTGATGTCGCCAACTTGAAATACTTTAAAGACGTAATTAATTTTCTTTAATTGCTAATATATATATATTCGTGCAGCAGTTAGTCGTGTTAAAAAGCACTAACAAGGTATAGGATCAGCTAGAAAAGGCAGATTCACTAAGTACTATTGGCAAGTATCTTATAAGAGTTGTTCTTCAGCTCGAATTCGTTCTCAACTAATTCCAAACAATCAAACGAATGAGATTGTTTACTCTAATTAATTCGCGCCACATAGTCAACTAACTTTAAGAAACTTCCTTTCACGTTTCTACGGTATTTAAACCGTTGGATGCCGTGAAATACGCAGACTATCCCAGCCGCTGAGCTAACTAAACCCAGACAAAGTACGTGATTACCCGTCTTGGATTATCTATTTCACTCTTGTGTTTTTCGGTTTAATCTCTTAATTACACGATGAAACCTATCAGCGTTTAAAAAAGCTTTGGAACCTTACCTATCTTATATACATTTTCTTCTTGTTGAGTCCTCGACGTTTACGTAGTTTGGACACAGCTGGCATGAATATCGGAGGACCAACTTCCTATTCAAAGCTGATGATTAGTGGACGCTCTATTCCGAAGATACTCGATTCGTTGCTAAGCGGTAACATAAAAGTTTTACTACCACGCTTGGTTTCACAAAAGTAATTAGCCTTACAATAACGGCTAATCCACAGTTTAACATCGCTTCAATAAAATTCAATGGAAGGTTTAATTTTCTAAGCGAACGAAAATAGCAAAAAATCCCAGGGGTGTTCTGTTTGAAGCTGTTTGAACCATAAGAGAAATCAAGTCTCAACGGGTAGCCACCATTAACTTGGTTTTTGATAAATTCTCTCAATGTACCACCATGCCGCTAAATAGCTGTTGCAGGGAAAACTGTCATAGTGTTTGACCCAACGTGAATATATTTACAATATGTCAGGAGATTACGAATCTCTCTTTTTTTCTTTTTTAGTTTCTTCTGTTTTAAATAATTTACGCATATTTTCAAAGGGAAACTCTGATATGATAACCAGACTCGGTTATAGAAACTCCAATTCAATTGACATCAATTTATTTACACTTATTTTAGTTTAATAAATTTTACTTAATTAACCAAAACATCAGAATAAAAGAAATAGAAAATTACTTCAAATAAGAGAAAAGTGTGAAGTGGCCAAAGGAGCAAAGGTTTTCGAGTTAGCCACTACCACAGTAAAATTATTGAGGATTACACGGTTTTCTTTGTTATATTCATTTACCTATCCGTATCCACCCCGTATAATTCCATTATACTTATACGACGTGTCGTTATTAAAACAACGTGATGTCTCCGTGGGATATACATTCTGAAGGGAATATTGCTGAAATTGTTCTAAATCTATTGATCGCATTATCTCAATGTGTTGCACCATATATCTCGCCATGAACCCGATCACACCCATGTGAAACATTAGCGAAATGGCCGTCAACAAAACAACTCCGGCGTAATCAAAACAACCATTTAACGAGAAAAGTTACGATTATTATTAAAAACAACAACAAACAAACAAACAAACAAAAAGAAAACATAAGTAGTTGCCCGGCTCGGCAAAATACTGCGTTGAAATATGCAGTGACCCTTATAACTAAAATGAATAGTAAGGTATGCCCTACAAAATTCCATTAATAAGCCGTTCCGAAAATAAATTCATGGGCTTATATTTAGGTCCAGCTCTTAAAAAAAGAGATAACGTCTTCTTATTGTATGTACCACTTACGCAAAGTTATATCACACTTCGCTATGACTAATAAACTTGTTCCCTTTAGCATAAAAGGATTTAACAAGCAAAATTCATTCACAAAACTTGGATTTTTTTCATATCTTCCACATATATGCAAGTCCAAATATTTTTGGAGCTCAAAATTCCTTCTGATGCTAAGCAGACCTCTCGAAAATTAGCCCACCAAAAAGGAGTTTCGCTTGATTTGATTAAGAAGTACGCGCCGCAGACCTACTTTAAACAGTATGGTCTGGTAACTAAAATAGTCTCCCAGTATGCTTTGCAGCCTCACGATTGACGGGGTCGGCCATATTGGAAAGCAGAAATATAGTACGACCATGATTTCTCGGTTACGTTTGGTTAGCAGAATCGGTAAGTCCTTACTCTAGTAAGAAAAATGAACAGTGTTCCTACGAATTTAGGCTTTTGCGTTCGATCAGGATTATTTTCCTCTTATTTTTCTTGTTGATCATCCTCTTGAAAGTAAGCTTACCAGCTTGTGTTGAAACAGCAAAGCTTAATTAGTGAGCAGCTTCTATATCATGAGTTAAATTAGCTTTAACTTCAACTTCTTATGTGCTCCATAGTTCTGAATAGAGCTGTAGCAACGTAGAACGAGCAAATGAGCATATTGACATCAGAGAGAGTTCCACTTCTGCATCTTTTCAAAGTTATACATAAGCTTATACATGTATCTCGACATCAGAATTTATTTGTGTAAAAAACAGTTTCTCAAACAAAACGAGCTCAATTGTGTACCTTGAACAAAGGATTGAGATGAGGTTTTACTCTGTAGGTGGTGCTTCAAGGCTCTTGGCACTTGCAAAACCAAGGTCAGTGGATTGTTTAAGTTATGTAGAGAAAATGGATTAGTACAGTGCAGCCCAGATATAAGCAAACCAACATACATGCATAATTCGCATCAGCTGAAAACGCGTATACGCCTATACATATATGCACATATGAGTATACAGTAGACGTGTGTATGCTGCAAGGGTCATAAATAAACAATAGAGTTTTTCTGTCAAGGGCCCATGAGTGCACAGAGGTTTTATGCTCTAAAAGCCAAATATCAACCCAAGAATTATGTGCAGTTTTTAGAACATAAAATTCCCAAGAGGAATTATTAACCCATGCAATCTAGGTCCAGGACATGAACATTCTGTTGGCTTTATTATTCACCACTGATCTTCCTGTAACTGTGGTATGCCGTACACCAAAAAAAAAAATGAATTTGTTCTTTGAAACTATTTATCAACAGTGTTCCAGCCACCACAAGACTGATGTGTCAGGTTACACCAAAGGAAGGTAACAAAATTCATTAATTAGTCTAATATACCAGGTCACCTGAGATACAGCTATTGATATTTTTCACCATTCAAATTATTGCTGTGCAAGGGACCACCATATACTTCTCTTTGCAGGTTGCACAAACATGGTCTATTTAATGGCAGAATTTTTTATGATTATTTAAATTGTATGTGGTTTTATGTCAAACATGGGTTACTACACGTTTTGTTTCAAGGGAGTAGCAAGCAAATTTCAGGAAAAAAGCCTAATATTGAATTGAATTTGATCTCATTTTGAGCTTCATGTTGTATTTGTAGTATTTGTACATGTTTTTTGGGCAGTGACAACTTTTCTCTCGCCCTTTCTTGCATTTTCTCTTTGCACTTCGGAAATATACAGTACCAATCAGAAGAAAACTAACAGGGAACGTATTTGCGAATGGGTATAGAACGGATACAGAACAGGTGTGAGAATGTGAACGGAAAAGGTACAGAAAGGATACAGAACAGATACCGAATGGATACAGAACAGGAACAGGAATGCGTGCGGAGCGGTGACACAACACATTCTGGCAAGCGTTCCCTATTAGGTTTTTTCTGATTGGTACTGTAAAGCTAGATGAGTTTGTGGTCATAGTTTTCTTTTTTTATTGCAACTCTTTATTTTGTAGAAGAAACTCCTGAGTTTGGTCAGTTCTTTAGAGATGTCAGCAGCATGTTGAAAGAGAAAACTGGAGAAACAGGTGAATACTTAACACCACTGACCTTGAGTAGGATGATGCTGAATTAAAGAAAATATATTAGCTAAAAACTGCAAGATGTCCACAACATTGTTATAATTATTATTGGGCACTAGATAATTTATTAATTTTTCTTAGCAAATACTCTATTTGGATAAAAGCAAGTGTATGACAGAAAAATCAATAAGTGAAAAGAATTCATGGGGATTGAGTAGAAAGTTATTCACCTGTAACACCAGGTTTGTTCATGTATTAAATTTTTTGTTCATTCAACTATTTTCATCTAAACACTTGCAAACTTCAAATGTTTTAACCTTCGTATAGTCTCTCAAAATTGGTGGACCTTATTTTATTTTATAGCTGTTCCTAAGCCCCTCATTGCTTTGTTTATAGCCATCCTTGGAAACCTAGGGGCAGATAGTCAAGTCAGGAGGAATTCAAATGGACCAAAACTTGCAAACGGAAGTTTAGAAGAATAAACAAGTTGTTTTTGTAAACTATCTTTTGCACCACTTTTTCTTGTTGCACTTCTCCTGACCCCACTATCTGCCCCTGAGTCTCCGAAGATGGGTTATGGGTTGTCACTACATGTAGAAGAGAGGTCTAAATGATAGAGAAGGCCTTGGTCAGCAAACCAGCAACCAAGCCTTGAAGAAAACCCTTACTTTAGTCATTTATTTTATAGGCCATAAACTTCTTGCTGGAGGATTACTCACTTATATGCTTTCAAAGGAATTACTTATTCTTCATGATGAGGTATTGATGCTAGCTTTTATACCTTAACCTTAAAACATATACCATGCCAGGGGTTTTAAATAATAAAACCACAGTATTCCGTGGCTAGTATGGGATTGTTCTACAGTGCATATCACTGTCAAGCCACAAAGCCTTTGAAACATATCATCATGGAAAAGCCAGATCTATTTTAAATTTATGCTATTTTAATTTTAAAGGACATTTGACACCCTTCTGTGCATGTGCAGCAATTCAATTTCTGATCTGAGGGAACAGTTTTCAAAGTTGATATTTGTGAGGAAAATCCCTCTCCATCAACCTTCTGAGGCATGAGAAAATTATGTTACTGATATTGAAAAACTGTTTAGTCACCTATGAAACTAGATTTAAATGGAAAATTTTGTGTTTTGAATACCTAATATGTATTAATAAAGATTTTGACTTTTTTTTAACTTTTTCGTTCTATCCTTTCAAACCATCATTTGTCAAAGCTACCACTTTCTTAGTGGCTGTTGATGCGATTTTTGGAATACACTGATCAATAGCTTTCAAATGGCATATCATACATGAGTATAGGAGGTCTATTAATTAAATTGGAAAAAACCCTGGCAATTTAGGGCTGAGAGGGTTAAGGGGACTGAACTCAAAACTTGGTTTAACGTACCTACTAAATTTGAAGTTATCCTTCTTGCTCTTGAATTTTTATGAGGTTTGATAGTTTTTAATTAATCCACTCTCACTTTAATTTTTTTGACAAATTTTAGATGATTTGTATAGATCTATCATGAATAAACTTTGTACAAAGTTTAATTTAATTTTGAATTTATTATGTTTTTACATGACCCCATTATGTACTGAGCCTTAATTTTAATCATTACTAAGTAAAGGTTGTCTGTCTGTCTGTCTGTCTGTCTGT